AAATATATTCACCCAATTTCGTTTAAGGTGATGAGAACTACTTTTAAGAAAGAAAGACTATGCTAAATTGAATGGAAACATCAGTTATACTCATATCATTGTGGGAAAATTCTACAACCAGTTCTTTTTATCACCTTAAACGAAATTGTGTGAATACATTTCATACTACTGATTAACTGATGTTCTCGAAACTCTACTCAAACGCAATAACTCAGTTAGCAGCCGTTTGGAAGCCAGTTTTTCTTTATATCTAAAAGCATTAAATGGCCAATACAATTGTAATATTCTTTGACGTGATTTTGCATTTCGAATAAAACGTTGAATAAACGAAATGGTCGTGATTTGGTCTCTCCGAAAAGCGAGCGAGTAGACATGGTGGCTCAATGAATCTGTGCTAACCTCTCGTCTATACCGCCATGATAGACATTTTCACAACAATTCAACATAATTCACGTAATTACGCAATAAAATGGCAACGCAAGAGTAAATAAACTCAGAAAAATTATGCCTTAAAGTACGTATTTTTGCTCTAAAAACGTCTGTCGGGCGAAAGTTCGGTACAGCTTCATCGAGCTGGCAGGACGGTGAGCCGTCGACAATACGCCAGTCTTTAATTCTGCGGTTTCATCTGCGCTTGCAATGCTTCCTTCGAGCTTGAAAGCTGGCCATTCTTCACAAAATCACGCAATTTCACATGAAATAGTCAAAGTAAAACTGCCACAGGCGCATGGGATCGGCGAACACGAATGGATCAAGGTTGTGTGATCGGTGGGCCGTGGAGCAAAGTGCACAAATTCACATTTATCCCGTCAAGATCACGCTTTGTCGGCTCGCGCTGATACCGTTCACCTCGTCCAGCATCGAGCCATTCAAGCATTCCACAAAACTCGGCTTTTCTTCACCTCTTCTCGACACCGAAATCCGCTCCGTGTGTCCACTTTGCCGAAATCGGCTCGCAAAAACACACCCAAATAACACTTCGGTTATGCCCACCCTTTTCGACGAGTCAACTATGCCACTCTGTCGAACTCGTACTGACGGGAAATCGTGTGAATTGACCCATCACACAACACAACAAAGAGTTTGTGCTGTTGTGTGCCTCAAACAAATGAAAAATGGCGAAATGAACATTAGCTGACTCGTCAAAACACGTAGCAATTGTGCTCTGCCAACTTGTATCACAACACACACACATACATACAAACACACATATACATTCATTCCAGCGTTTCTAACGAAGACTCGCATCAACACACACACACACACACACACACAAATACATAAAAATACATATACACAAATAGAATCATCCATAAGTAAACCATTTTATATTTCTGCGTATGTCCATATACATATTTTCCGTTCCATTCTATTTGTGTCTGTGTGTATGTAGCATGTCGGTCGACCAAAATTTGCGTCGACCGGACACTTTGCAGGAATTCATTCCAGCTTTTAAGGCTCTGTCGAATGGCGTTTCCAACGAAGACTCGCATCAACACACACACACACACACAAATACATACAAATACATATACACACAAAGAACCATCCATAAGTAAACCATT